CTTCTTCTAAGGTGCCTACACAGTATCTTCAGAAAAATCTTTACATTTAAATATGTCCCTAAGAGCAGAGATGCACACAAAGCTTTTTTTCAAGCACTGACAAGCAGGGGGAAAAAACAAAAATTCAAAACAAACAAAAAAATTCCTACATACCAATAAGGACAGGGTTGGGGTATAACCCCTCCACCCCAAACCAACTACACAGACATGTGCTAACAAAATTTGCAAATGCAGCAGCATTAGTACAGGATTTTTTATTGTTGGTCCACTTACTGTTTTATTTTGCGGTTTGTATATATAACATACACAAAGGGAACATAAACTTTATATATGTCTGCATAAACCATGTGTATAGTATATAATACAAATTCATAAGAACAAGCATGAAAGTATTGTTTTACAAGGAATTAATGAAGTCAAGACTCACCTATAAAAATCTTCAAAGTTCAGTTCAGCTTTTCCTTTCTTGCCGAAAAAGTGAACAAGCAGTGTAGTATCTGACAGTGAACTTGAAATATCATCAGCACGCTTAAATATTAGAATAAAAAAAATTAAAGGCCGTGACTAGATCAGTTACAGAAGTATAATCTCAGAATGCCTACTGTCACAATAGACTTTTCTATTAAAAGGGTTTGTATTTTATGTTCAGTTTAAAAGAGACTTCAGTATTAAAATCCATTACATTAATTCAGTCATGCAATTTTCACACAAAATGGCATTAGACTGTTAATTGCATTTAGTAGAAAACATGTAAAACAACAATATAATATAATGGAAGCTGCAATGAAGGGGGAAAAAGCATGAAAAATAAAACCAGAAACTCTTGAGGAAAAAAAAAGTTCTAGTCAGTTGAGGTAAACCATAAAAATAACCCCCTTTGTACACAATCTCCTTTCCCTTCTACTATGCAACTACAAAGAAATTAAAGGACATTATTTCATATACTCTTATATTTCAAAATTATTACGGGAATTGTATTCCAAAACCACTCACATCAGTCAGGTGTACTTTATATGACTCTTTTCTATAAGTAGCAGATGACTACAGTTTAAATTTTATTGCCCAACTGTATTTAAAACAACAGAATTGTAAGAAATTTTGAAATTAGAAAGTAATATTTTGACTCATTCTTTTAAGAATGTTCCTCATTTACTCAGTATGTGATCTCTGCATAAAAGAGGAATCTCTGAACATGTCCTAATACTTTTTCCTTAACACATATCAACTTTGAAGGTATAGAATTAGAATAGTAAAACCAACTAATTTTGACCATTTGTAAAGAAATATAAATAGGCAGACATGCATATAAACAGAAGTAACTACAATCAGTGTATAAGCAGAAGTAACTATCATCTGTGTACAGTGATTGTGCAACACTCCACTTTTTTACTACATATTCATTACCCTCAACTGTGATGTACATATGTTGATTATACCTTTTACAAAGAAACTCTTGATATACTGAAGAATTAGAAAAATAATTCAGTAATGTAAGGCTCTTAAATAAGCCACAGCATTCCACTATGGCAATGTCCTTCTGGCATTAACATGCATCTGCCAACATTTGAAATTCAAAAAGTAGTATCTTTAGTCTCCTTGCTGCACCTGCCTAGGGAGAATCTTCTGTCCAACCTCTCATTTTTCTTACAATGATAAGCTCTTATGGAGAGCAAAGAGTGGGAGTCAGTAGTCTCTGTTCTTCCTAGGCAAGCGACCACCCATCAGCAACATCCTATTTTGTGGAAGTGTGCCTGCCGACTCTACTGTAGTTAAAATACAAAACTGAATACAGAAACCTAGTAAGTGTTCGGGAGATGTGACAGTACTAATTTATGACCATAATGATAGATTAAAAACCTACAGGATTTACTGCAAGTATAGAAAACTGCTTATACAGATCTATAAAGATCTGCATATACAAAGCTGCAAGGTGCACTCAGTCCTTTAAGTATGACTTTATTTTATAACTGAAGAGGTTATAAATCTATAACAGATGGAGAAACTCTAAATGAAGAAACTAGAAAGAAATTCTGAATAGTATGCAGTAGTTCAACATCACATACCATGAAAAACCATTTCAGATCTACATTCTCTGAAATATTCTATATTAATTTCAAATTTACATACTGATTTGCAAGAAATGTAAAATGCCATATCCTTTAAGGTATTTCTGTACCGACAACAAGGAAAAACATGAGGCAGTAACAACAAAAATCCTTTCAACATCCAAGAACTAAAGAAATGAGAGAGACTTTTTGGTACTTTAGTATAATCAGTTTAGGATTCTCAAGATTGTATTTCATGTACTCTAGCTTCCTCTTTATTCTCATATTCTTCTCCAGGGAGAAATAAGATGACATAGTGTATATATAGGTAGAGGGATATTTCATGTCCTTCAATTAAGACAGCTGTGCTCTTCAAGTAAGCAAACTAATTCAGAGAAGTATTCACTATTTGTCTTTTAATATTGTTACCCTCCACTACAGGACACAATATACCGAAATACAGATACCCTGATTTCTTATGTCTTTTAAGCAATTAAATCCCTAAGCACATTCAAACAATTTCCCTCAAGTACACTGAAAAGATATCAAATGTTAAATTACAGCCTTTCATCTTGCAAAAACATTGCAAACCCTTAGACTTAGGTTGCATTCACCCATATCTAAAGAACCATTTAAAAAAATACAATGTGTAAGTCTTTTCACAATTCCCATTTGGTCAGCCTCACTAAATGAAAAAAACCCAAACAAAAACCTCACCCCAGAAACTCAACCCAGTATGCTTCTCTGCAGAAATGCAGGCAACTGAAAACTATTCCTGTCCTCCTTCTGCATTGATACCATTAAATAAATTCTCTCTCTTAAGGACTAAGGATAAAAACAAAAGCCTTAATAATTTAAAATTATTATTTATTGTTCATAATAAAATGAATTTTGTATTTTATAGCAGCGAAAATGAAATGACCACGTTTCCATATATACAAATATAAGCCTCTATTTTGATCTAATATATTTTGAAGTCATTTAAATGAGAATAAAACCCTGCCTCATTTCTCTTTACATTAACTGTAATACACATACAGGTAAAAAGACAAACAGAGACAAGTGTTTCAGTCACATTATTGGCTTGCTGTATTTCTTAACCTCTCCATTTCTTAACCTGAAGAGCAATAAATATTTTTTTTTCATATTCTGCAAAATTAATTTCAAGCTTTTCATAAAAGAAGGTTGACTATAAGTAAGTTACACTCATGAGCGATGGCCGACTTGTAGCAACGTATTCTGAGAATGAAGTATGTATATTATGCTTTGAATTAGTAAGAGTTTTCTTGCTGCAAGTCCTTGATTTTTCAACAGTGACAATAAATCTACTGATTTCCAGTTTCATTTAGTAATTTAAGAATAAACCCACAAACTCAATTCAGTGATAACTGGCGTATTCCAACAGGATGGTGTAGTTGCTAAATTAGGAATAGCAGAAACAGTACTGTAAACTGTCCTAAAAAGAAACTGGATGTGATGAGTAACATCTTTTCCCCCCAAAGAGACCTTGTGAGTTGATTCCCGCAACAAAAGCCTTATTTACTCTCCTTTTCAACTTACACAAGGCCTTCTCAAAAGGCTATGAAACAACAGACTCCAGTGTCACCTAGCTTTATGCCACTTTCTTAGTACAGACGGCTATATTATATTCAGATGTCACAGTACCTGAGAGAAAAGAATATGGATGAAAGCCAGCTGGCTCAAACTTAACCCAAGCAAGATAAAGATGATTATGGTGAAAAGTGGGAAATTGTCAGTGGAGCAAATGCAGGACATGATTTTTATTCATAAAATGATTTACAAGTGAACAGAGAGACTTTTGATACATTTTACAGACAATTTAAATCAATGTTTAGTATATAATGTTTCTTCTTGTCCAAAGGCAAGTGAACTCAAGCTGAGAGAGGTACAGAAAAGGCCTATTTGATACCTGGCTAATGTATGTTCTACCTTAAGGGAAAAATCAAAGGCCTTGTCGTGTTTAGCCTATGATAATTAAAACTGAGGGCTATGACTGCATTTATAAACATAACCATGAATAAGATTAACACTAAAGAAAAAGCCCTATGAAAATTACGGGACAACAGACTGGTATAAAGGGACTATGAGTAAATTTAGCCTGGAAGTTAGAAGAAGTCTATCCAAGTCCTCAGGATATTCCATAGGTTCTGCAGAGGAACAGCAGGGACAAAACACTAATTACTTTTAATATGCAGCACACGTTGCTTATGAAGCAAAAAGATATTGTTTTACCCTGGAGGTCCATTTCAGTTCCTTTTTTTTTCCTCATTATGATCCTGCTTATGAAGCATGAGACTTGAGTCCAGAGTCAGTGGGGAGTTGCTGTATGGCCTTTAAAGCCACAACCAGCAGAGCAATGACCCTCACTGTGTGGGGCACAGAAAAGCCTAAATGATCTGGTTTTCTGACCCTCTTAGATGATCAATAGAAATACATGTCTTACTCAATTATCTGAAAGCAGATCATGAAACAAGAATCTTATTAGAATTTAAAGCACTATGGAAATTGACAGCTCGGTGATATTGCTAGTCCTCCGTAATGATTGTGTAATATTAAAGAACGTTGACTAATGTTTTGGTTATCTTAAAACATTCCTAGTTTGATCCAATGATTAAAATAATCTTTGCATGATACTTTTTCTTGGTGAAGATAAGCTCTGATAACATACATAAAAAGCACATTAGGGACCTAAAGATTAAAAGCTTAAAGGGCTGCAACTCTCATTGAAGTTGTCATATCACTGGACCAAGCCTAAATGACAAAGGTTTCCTGAATTACTTCTCTAACTGTGAAATATTGTCACTATTAATGTTAGAAAATGCTTCTTACAGTAAGGACTGAAGAGGACTTGACCCGACCCTCCAACTCTTTCACTTGCTTTCACTTGGAAATGACAACTTTCAGTTATCGCACTGCATGGAACCAAATCCATTTCATCTGAGAACTTTCAGGTTTTAAAAAAAAAAAAATTAATTAAAAGGAAGAGAAGAAACAAAGTGCATAAAATGGGAAAATGATCAGAACAGAAATAAATAAAATAGCAGTCTGTTTATGGACCAGAGACAGAGGTTGTCTTATACCTCCGCAAGGTCCGAAAAGAGTGCTTGGCTTGTGCTACGTCTCAAAGTATCCCAATAGCTTCTGGAGACAAGGTCCTCTCCTTCTGTTTTAAGAACCTGCAGAAGTTTCAAGAAGCACAATTGTTTGAAAACCAAAGAACAATAAAACAACCGCTTACAATTTTAAAACCTTTTCCAACTGATCTCCAAAAACATGGCTTGATTCTTTTGCTTCTACACAGAGAAATTTCTACCCAGTTACATGACACTTTGTAAAGGAAAGGAACACTGGTCTATTACAGCTATTTGCTTATTACTCATAACTTGGCTGTGCCAGAAGTATCACCAGACTCCACTTTCCCAAACAAAATAAATTAGAGGAAGCATCAAGTGAAAATATTTATTAAAAGTACATGTGAAAACATCCATCTACTCAGTATTTCCCTTTTGTTTTTTCTAACAATTCAGTTTTGCGGAAAAAAATATTAATTTATATACTTATGAAATTTGTTTTATCATTGATCAAAATATAACTATCACCATACAACTAGTTATACAAAATCAATTTCATCCAATAATCAGGATGATATTCTTGCATCAATAAAGAAACGCAAAAATCAAGACTAGTAAGTCCAACTTCAACAGTAACATACTTATCAAGAAAACACTACATACATCTGATGATCAAACTTACCTTGTTTAAACAGAAAATAAGTGCTTAATCTCTCCCAGGACAATACGTTTACCTTTTTGCTCTGAAATGTTTCATTTTTGGAAGTCTGAAAAATCCTCCCTTATTAAAACAGGCCTTCCTTTATCTTGCAATTAGTCTTAGAAGGTCTATGCAATACATTTCTTTTTTGGGGGGGGCCCAGGGAATCTAAGGGAGGTGATCCTAAAGACAGCAGAAGACTATTTGAACTTGGCTAGAGTTATTGCAACTGAATGAATTTTCCCCTTTCTCTCCAGAAGTTACTCTAAACTAGGTCTCCTACTTTCACAGCTCCCTACTCACGTCCATCTGGGCAAGCAAGACAAAGACACAATCAGTTTGATCTTCTAACTACAAATGAAAACCATTTTTTTGACTCAGAACATACTGTTCTCTTAGAAGATTTATGCTGCTCTGTGATGTGTAAAACCACACTTATCATAAAGAATACTGTACAGAGTTGAAGGGGTATTGTCTCTATGTATTCTACATTATGTCAACACATTATATGTACTCCTTCTACAAGTTCTATTATGTACTTCCTCCATGAACTAATTCAACTTAGCTCTTTCTGTAAATTGTCATCAAAGAAACATGACAAACTACCAGGAATTACACCCATGCTTAATATATATGTTATACTTTTGCTTCCTTTTTGAAAAATTCTGGGTTTATCTTTCTCTTCTTATGGAGTAACAGTTCCTCTGTGGTGGTCACAGTATTCTCATATATAATTCCATTCAGTCCTAAATCGCTAAACTCAAATAAATTTCTTTACTTCAGTGTGTACAGGATAAGGTCCTTCGCAGTTTCTCTCTTATGCTTATTTATCCCTTTGACGTTTACTGGGTCGTGTTAATGACAACACCTCATTCTTTTATACATACAATTCTGTAATTATCTCTTACTGGAGATTTACTTTAGTCGGTGGAATTAGTACTTCTGGGCATGCACATTTTATTTTCCTTACATGCATCTCATCATACTTATCATGTTCAGTTGGCATTTAGCTAGTGAAAGCACTCATGCAATACATGCTGAAGCAGCCTTAACACACAACTGCAGTATGCACCAGAACATGACTTGAAAGAATTAACTTATGCAAATGAAAATACAAAAATACTTAACCCATTTAAAACATCACTGTATGCACTCTATGGCTTATAGACCTTGACACTTCTCAAAAAATTAGAACTGTTTTGAAGGATGAAGTGAGGAGAAGGGTCCAACACAGCACTTTGGACTCAGACATTTTAGGACTGCATCTCCTTGGTCTTGAGAATCTTCAACTCCCCAGGACATCAAGGGAAACTGAAAAGGTTGCTACACTTCTTGTTTCAGTAGAAGAAACAGAATCCCAAAATATAAATTTTCTGGGGTGGGGGATTTGTCAGATACCGCGAATTCATATACATCAGAGTCTCCTTTGCATAAAGATCTCCATTCAGGCAGTAGGAGGGCAGAAAAGGATGGTGCACACCTGGGCATCATCTTGATAACGAGTTTGGACGTGGCTGGAGTCTTGAAGGAGATTTTTTTTACTAAAGCTGAAAATTATTATATGAGTAGGAAAGCCTAAATAGTTTTTTCAGCTTAAAACAGGAGGCAGCACAGGAATATGGCAACCACTGTACAGCACGTTTCACTGAAGTGAAGCCTGATAAAAAAAATCCGTTGAATCATAAGGCCTCACATTTCCTACTACATTATTCTCACCACATTGCAGCATCTGCATCATGTCACTGCATCTCTTCATTCAACAGACTACCTTCCTGCATATTGCCCAAACATCCTAACTTCACAGGAAATAAATCTGTGCATTCCTGTGAATGAGTCTATGAAGAAACAGACTTTAAAACTGGAATTTCACTAGTATCTAATTCTCATAGGTTCCCTCCCCTCACTTTGAATATCACGGTAATCATACCAAAACAACTAATTCTTCTATTTTAACATCAAATCAATCTTTTTTTAACAACATTTCTTTACACACATTAATTAAAACCAAGTCTATAATTTCTTAGGATACGTTTTGTCCTTTCCCTTAAAAATACTGTTTCCTTCATTTTATAATAAACAGAGAGAGCAACCTTTCCTCCTGGTAGGCTTGCCTTTTTCAGAATGTGTGCAACAAGCATGCACAATCTCTTACGCAAGTAAAGATCTATCACACTCTTACTGATTAGCAGAACTAATCTACCTGACGAAAAATATATAGTAAATTTTCTTATACCATATTATTTCACTTCACTGGTGAAGACTGCATAAATTGAAAATAATTAGAGTACATACACTGTTAGTAGAAGTATGATATCCATAAAGTTGAAGACGCTGACATACAGCAAAAACGGGCCAAGCCAAGTATCACATGTCAGAATGAAGCCAAAAGAAAGGGGGGAAAAAAAAAAAAAGACAACAAAATAGGTTAAGGTAGGCAAATGTTTATTTTATATATTATTAGATTTTTGATTTTTGTTTTTAAAATGTCAGTGAAGAAAAAATGGTTTATCTTCAATCTCATTCTTCAAATTTTCCAAACAGAAGTACACAGTTGCAGAGACTACTCTCAGGAGAAATGATTCATTTTGCAATCTTTACTTTTTTCAAAAGCTGTTCCTTTGGGTGTAAGTTTCTTTTGTTCAGAATAACCAGTGTGTGAGAGATTCAATAACTGGCCCACAGTTTTGAAAAGTGGAGAAGGATAGGTCTCTCTGGGTGGGAAGAGAAGATTCCTTTTTATGTTCAGGGAAGGTTTAAAAAGTATTAATACTTGAAATTCAAACTTCCTATGGTTTCAGGAACAAAGATCTGAGATCAAGCATCTACGGTCCCAAGAGGATAATGGACACTATGAGAAGCTTCGCATATATGCCAAAATGTTCCTTATAATAAGGAATCTGTCATAAATATGCAAATAGCAAATGAACTTGTTTTTTTCTGCTATGGGTTTGACAGAGACCAGTCCCTGATTTTTAATTGTCCAACAGTAAAATAAATTCCTGCTACTGCTGCCATCTTCCAGACAAACCACCACAGCCTTGTCTATTTCTGACTTACCTTTCTCATGCACATCAGAAACGCAAATTTGACATTATGTAAGAATGAGTATTCAATATTCCACAAAAATCTATTCAGATAATATAAACAACTAAAAAACCTTTTGCATTGGTCATAAGCAGTATTTAATAAAAAAATTAAATTTGAATATAAAATCTAAGTTCACTTGTAACATTTCATCACCTATTTTAAACCAATTATGTTAGTAACAAGCAGCAGGATCAGTAAGTCTACATGAACAGCTTCAGTTAGTTGTGAGAGCAGGAGTACAGTCTGGTCTTGCCACTGAGATCTCTCAATTTTACAGACAGTAACACTGGGTCATTACTATTCACTTTTTCCTAGATTTATACACTCCAAATGGAATCAATGCTACTGTCATATGTAATACAGTATTTAAACGCTAATTTTTCCTTTCTATAGACCACTTAAATATTTTTTTTCAATGACTGCAGTTCAGGCTAAATATTGCTTTTTTCTATATAGAAAGTTATGCATATTCTTTTAATGATACAAATTTATTGTTTAAAAAAATTGAAAATGATTAGTGAAATATATACACACGCAATTTTGTCCTACATCAAAGAAAACAAATCAACTACCAGTTGCCACTATCCTAATTTTACTTACCAGCATTGCACGTTTTTCTTCATCTCCTTTTCTTTCTCTCTTCTCATTTTTTTTCCTGAAAATCTCCTGTAGCTAAAAAACAAACCATTTTGTTCTTACTTAGTTTTCAGGTTATTTCACATGCATAACCATCATTCACTGGGAGGAACACTGCAAACAGTATTAAAATGTAGTACTTTACTAAAATATCAGTGTTTCAATGATGTTTTATTGTTCATATTCGTGTCTTCATGTTCCTTCTGTGACCTTAACCATCATACAGAAAGGAAAAGGGAAATATTTTTTCCACAAAGTAAGGCTAATAATTCTATTTGGGAGGACAATACTAAGAATATCCTATTTAGCTTTACATTTTAGCCAATCCAGCCTATACAAAAAGGGGGAGTTCCAGCCTTTTTCACCACCCCTAGGCACATCCTTTCTTGTCAGGTACTAATGAGTATCTGTGTGGCTACAGTCAGCTGGATCAATCTTTTTTTCATATTGTTAGTTTCCAACCAGATCAGTTCTTACTCCTGCTGGCACAAGGGAGGGGGGGAAACACCTGGTGGGGGTGAAACATTCCCCTTCAGCAGCAACAAACTACTATTCAAGAGTAATTTATCAAGTACCCTTTTTTTTCAAGTCTGTTCAAAGAATACCTTCAGGTCTTGTAAAATACCTCTTTCACAACTTTCTCTACGTTAAGAGCTTTAAACACAACTTCTGAGAAAACCTCAAATAGAAGATTTAAAACATATAGATTCTTGAGCATATTTATTTTTTGAAATTATAGAAGTCTTCAGAGTAAGAACTGGCCTGTACTTACTTTTCTTTGTAAGTATCCGTTTTACTCAGATACTTTCATTTATAGTAATACTTACTAATATTCCCAAACCATTAGAAAAAACTGTCACAATGTTTACTCTTCACAGCAAGAGAGAGCAGTATTAACTACAGTGCCATCTATATCTCTACCAGCGAACTTCAGCTTTTCAAAAATTGCACATGAAAATATTGTACTGCCACTTGTACTTGTAGCACTCGCTAACCTCAGAGTGGGCTGGAAAAAGAATAAACACAGTGGCTGACAGATTTGTCCTATCTAGAATATGGTATTTTCAGAACCAAACATCATGGCATACAGACACAATTGTGGCAGTAGTTTCAAAGACCAAATTTTACCTACCAGAAGTCTGATAAAAACCTGATACTGTAATGACACACACACAGAGCTCCCCAGGGATCAGAATGTGAAAGATAAAGTGTGTGTGATAAATTTTGCAAGCAATTTTTCCAAATTTAATTTCAGAATACCGTATTTCAGAGAAGGCAGATGATTAAGACAAAGGGCTCAGCAAGCTCTACTGCAGGGGTATGACAACACTGAAATAAAGGAATATAGTGTTTAGCGATTAAATAGCAAATGCGTTTATAAATAATGTTTTATGAACTTCCAAAATTGACTACTGTGTTCTGGACTTGCCTATAAGGCAAATACAGACCAGAATATTGTGTGTGTCACTGTATCTATTTTTGAGTATGGGATCAATTTACAGACCTTGGTATGTTTTCTCTAATCTTTTTGCAAACCTACAGGCACAAATTGCTGTAACCTATGCTGACGAGGGAAGAGTCATGATAGGACATTTAGTTGGATGGCCTAGAGTATTACACAGTTTGCAACCCAAAACTGTGGAAAGAAGAAAGGCAAATGAAGAGAGAGAAGTAGAAAGAAAATGCTTTGTGAAAAGTGAAGTGACAAGCCATCAAGTAGGAGAGAAGAGTGGTAGTTATTGAAAAACCAAAAAAGATCTGTAAAAAGCAGTGTCCTTGGATGTATTTCCCCTGCCACAGAGCAAAGGGAGTAGGGTTCTGTTGCATTCATCATTAAAGCACTTGCTAAACTTCTGGAAATGGATCTTTTGTTCAGAGGGAGTGCTATAGGATACCAGTGAGTAGAAAAGTGAATGCAAAAAGGATCTAGGAGTACTTTCATAGGAACATTGTTTGAAACAGGATAATGAGATTGACTGCTAAAAGCAGCAAAAACAAGATCTCCTGTAACAGGGCAACACAATCCTTCTGTTCCCTGACCTCACCTCTATGACATAAGCAAAGAGGAAAGCACAAACACCACTGAATTACTTTGCAAAAACACTAAAGCTGTTACCAGAAAAATTAAGTATTTTTCAACTCTTCACATACTCTTCTCTTCAAGAATCACATAACATGTGATCCCTACACCAATCTCTTCAAAGTCTCTTTACTTGCAAAACTGAATAGTATTAATTACACTTCCAATTTTATGATAGCTGTCTGTAATCAATGGAGAAGTATTTTGCAAATGCTGGACATAGTTCAAACGGCAACACTTACAGTCTCCTGCTTCCAGGCACACAGGAGATGATGCATACCCAAGCAAGGTGAGTACAGATGCCAAATGTATGTTCTGGGGCCAGGTCTATCACAGCTGCAGCACCACTGAATCAACTTTTATTTTCAGATTTACTTTTATTTACACAGACGTTATCCATCTACCTACCTATCTATTTTAGTCTTTCTCACTTCAGCTCTAACATTCTGACTTACAGCTTTTGATCTAATTTTTGAAGGGTCACTGACATGGTAATCAAGCAGAGTTCGGGTCAAGTTTAATCCATACAAATTTGTTAAAAACAATAATAGGTGGAGAATAGTATATCTAATGTTTGAAAATTCTCCTTTCTTTCTTCTATCCACCAAGTCTGGTAACTGAAGAAGAATAAGGAGAAATTTTTATCGGGGACCATGACAGAGAACAAATAAAAAGCAGGATGCGAAGAGGACTATAAAAGCATAGTTAGAAAGAAAGATGCAATATCCACAGTTAAATGTTGTCATTGCTTCATGCCTTACATACTTATTTGATTTCATTTTCAGCATCAGTTTCTGAAAGCAAAGCCTCCTGCTCCAATTTCCTCCCACTTAGCTGTTGCAATGGAAGCTTTTTTTTAAAAAAAACAGTTGTCAGTCTATTCCACCACATTCTGTTTTATTGAATCATGAAAGATTTTTTTTTCTTCTTCTTCCTCTGTTTTTCCTTTGGCCAATTAATCCAATGTTTGCTGGCTTTTTCTCCCAACTGGAGGAGATGGTTATTAAGAATTAGCAAATACAAAGACGTGTACATTTTATAACAGAATACAAAAAAATTATCAGCATGCAACAATTTACAAGTGGTGACAGCTTCCAAAATAAATGAGACCTGTTCTGCTTAAGCTATGCCACCAGAAAACAAGCCTCCAGATCTCAGATCTCACTTCCTTGAAAAGGAGAATTGAGGGAAGTTCAGTGTGTTGAGGACAGCTTCTTTCACATTTCTGTTTTCTATAGATTAGCACAGCTTATCTGTACCGAGCCTTATAATTTGACTTGAAAACAATTAAGAAACAGCACACAGGAAAACAGGCTGTCTTTGTTTTAAACAAATCATGGTCTCCATTCCATGTGTCTGTTTCATTCTTTGTATTTTGTTCCATCTTCTTCAGTAAGGCAGTGGGCTTTTCCTCATATGTATTTACTGTATTTATTTATAAACTCAACCACACAAAAAATGTATGAAGATAAGAATCAATGTCTTCTGCAAGTATCTTTTTTTAGAAATATCTGATTCAATTCAATTCAATGCTGATTCAATGATTTTGTATTTTTTATTGTATTAATTGCCTGTACTTGTTCAGTATATAAAAAAAAAAGGCCCTGTGCAGTCATCAGAAAGTTTGTCTAAACAACTAACCACAAAATTTTAAATGTTAACTTCTAAAGAAATGTCAAAACCTATGTTTGTCATAATTGAGTGTTTCAGTGTAACCCCAGACGTCTGTATGGACATTACCAATTTAGAGAACTGATTTATACTGTAGTGTGCAGTTTGTTAATGTAAAGCCATGTAGTCATTGTGAAATCAAAAGCCCTAACGTTGAGTGGGCCTCTTCTACATTTCATGGGTTTTTTTTTCAAATTATCAACTTTTTACTTCATCACTGACATTCATTTAGAATAGCATTAATTATTCCTCCCGTTTCTTTTAAAATCAGAAAATAAATGTAATGAACATAAATCTGAAATAGCCCTCTTGTTCTAAGGCTTTTTAATTTTATACTTATCACATTCTCCTGTACTTAGTGGAACCTATCACCTGAAAACTTATGAAGTATTCAAATTTTAAGATGCAATTATCAGATTTATCATGATCAAAATAAAAACATAGTGGATGATTTAAGATTTTTTTGAAGATTTTCTCTCAAGTGCCAAATTCTTCTTAATGCACAAATCTCAATGACATGTGAAATAAGCTAATTTTTCTTTTAAAGTCTGGGCCTTTTAGAACTGTTTAAATTTCTAACCAGAAGAAAAATAAACTCTCTGCTTAAATAATTAGTAAGAAGAATTTACAGAACTGCTTTTTCTAAGCAACAAACTGAGTAAAGCTCTAGTTTGAAAAATACTGTAATTCAGATTTGTAATGTAACAAAACCTTGGATGCAATAAAACTACTGCCAAGTTCTAGATGTCCTGCCAGCTGTTCCAAAGCACATGAAAACTATCCAGCACAAAGTCAATTTTGCTATCAGGAATACTCTTCTTAAAAAGAAATCACTGAAATCCAGTTTAGCAAAGTGCTTCAGCATATGGATTTCATGGGCTGAACTAGACAGATGTACAGTATGTTTTATTTCATTACAAATCTTGTCCAAAACAGATGACAGTGTCACATTATGTCAGTCAATATTTTCAGGTCACCTAGGATTATAAACTGAACGAATGATAAAGTGAAGTGGTCTCCCAGCAAAAGATTCTTTTGCAAGTCCCTCCATCGTTATGGCAACTAAATAATTCTACTGACCATTGATACAGCAATATTACTTTAATAGCCTAATTATCTGTGAATGCAGTAACAAAAAGATCCAGAATAAAAACTGGAATTAAGCTTCAAAAATCATTATATTCCACACACCCGTGCACTGTCATAAGGAGCTACTATTTACAATTTACATTACATTAACTATTTACATTAAAGAAAATAAACAACTACATTCAGTGAAGAAAAGATCATGTTCTCAAAATTATTGACATCATCATAAGCCTCTATCCAGACAAAAAAACTATTTTTAAGACTACATCAGAATATTAAAAGACTGAAAAATATACATACCACTAAGAATTCCTTTTTGTCCACCATCTCATTGCCATCAGTATCAAACATGTTGAAAGCGATTCTAAAACCTGCATGTGGCTCTGCCAAAAAAACCCCAAACCCATTCAATTATTTATTTGCTTGGAAAGAAAGCAAATATGAAACTCTAAGAATTATTTGGTGTCTGTTTATAAAAGCCATATCCTCAACGCATTTAAATTAGCACACTTGTGTCCATAGTAAATGCAACTCGTAACATCTGTAAAACAGTATTATCCATTTATGAAAACAGAAGGCATGCTCACAAATTCACAGATTAGGGGAAATAGACAGTAGAAATAGAAAATTAAATAGTCAAGAAAAATCTCTCACAGTAATGGCAGGTTGGGTAGCTAAGTGTTAGTTCATGACTAGAGTCCATTTTATGTTAAAAACACGAATTTGTAGAAAATAAATTTTCTATGAAAACACAGTGTTCTAAAAGACTCTTCTTAAAGTTTTGCAAAAAACGTACAGGATGAAACTTCTCGTCAAAACAAATGATGTGTTGAAAAAGACCCAAAATTTTCTTGTTTACATGCTTAGAGTCATTGAAATTTGAAATCAGGTTAGAATTTTAAATTATTTCTGAAACATGGGGACTTTGAAAGTAACTGTAATTGAAGCCTTTAGGCAACATTTTGGTGATATTCAATGATTTGCAGTATGGATGAATTATGGGCAAAATGTAGTCCAGATAACAAAGAAATGATTGAAGAATATCCATCGAACCATCAGTTAGGGATTGTATGGGTTCAGGGTCAAGTTCCTGCTCTGATTCACAGTAAGAATCCAGATCATGTTTGAAAAAAAACCTAATTAACCCAATAGAAATGTTTTAATTACATACAAATGAAAGACAAGTAAAACACTTTGCTCCTTCCCTTTAGGAAGGACTTTAGGACAAGAGGAAACTGTCTCAAATTGCGCCAGGGGAGGTTCAGGTTGGATATTAGGAAGAATTTCTTCGCTGTAAGAGTCGTTAGGCATTGGAACAGGCTCCCCAGGGAGGTGGTGGACTCACCATCCCTGGAGGTGTTCAAAAAACGTTCAGATGTGGTGCTTCAAGACATGGTTTAGTGGGCATGGTGGCGTCAGGTAGAAGGTTGGACTTGATGTCATCTGAGGTCTCTTCCAACCATAACGATTCTATGATTCTATGATTCCCAATAAATACTCTTAAAATATCAAAACAAAGTCTGTATCAGGTTTAGTTTACTCTAACTGTAAGTTATTCTACTTTGTTTTCATGGGTGGTACAAGAGTAAGTATTTAATTTTGTTAGTGTTTTCTAACATAAGTAAACATTTACTTCAGTCTGAGAGATTTTATATTTTATCATTGTCTCACTGATATCACCCATTATACACTAATAGGTGAAACAAACCAGTAATACTGTGTATCTTTCTCTTCCTAAATTCAGTGTCCTTTATGAAGTCCAGTAAATTCAGATAGAAATTTTGTAGGAATTTCAAAGAAGAAAATAAATGTAAGCTCTTAACTGGGGTTTAGTTGAAGTGTACGGCTCAACTTTCTCGACAGTCAGTAAAAGGTGTTCTAGATAATAAAGCACTTAAATAAAACATTACACAAGATTCCAGTAGTACAGGAGAGGTTCAAATGTACATAGAGATGCATGATATATTTTTTCCATATTGCGATATGCGGGGGGAGGGGGGGAGAAAAGAAAAATAAAAAGAGTATTGTAATGCACAGCAATACATTCAGAGCTCAGAAATTTATAAGGAAGGTTTTTGTTTTGTTTTTTCTCCAAAAATACTTACTTGTTAAAATACATAACAGGAATAAATATTCTGTGTAAGATATCACACCTGAAGACAAAAAAAAAGTTATGCTGTATTAGTTTCTCCTTGTCTTCACATCCTAAACTTGAAAATATTAAATCTATGTAAAAGAAGAATAATTTTTGTACATGTGTATATGCATATTCACATTTGTGTGCATGTGACTGCATTCAACCTGGTCAATGAGTTATTTGTCTAAAATATTGATCTATGGGGTGGATTTTTGTTTTTAGTTTGGGTATTTTAGGGAAGAAATACATTAAATATGGCAAATAAACAACTACAGTCAGTGGAGAATGGCTCATAAAACAGAAGCTGGCTAGATTCTTAGAAGTTAATATAAAGGATTTATTAGATTTTCTTTCTGAAAATCCCACCAACAATTCATGACAACAGTATGAGAACATTTACTCTGAGAACATTAATAATGTTCCCTCCTGATATGTACTGTTTGAATAGAGTTCTTGATGTTAATATGTGCTTTGTAAGTGCATGTCCTGTATTAATTGAAAATTTGACCTCATGTTACTTATGAAAGCATAGATGTGGGCTTTTCAGTTGTCTTTATATGCACATTTTCATCATCATCAACTGAAATTTATATTAAAACTCTTATTAAATGAATGTGTAAATTTTGTTAAATATTTTTAAAGCCTGTTAGAGACATTTGTACTATCTCTTCTACATTCAGAAGATCTGTAAGGAATACATTCTAAGCTTTTCATCTTTTGTTAGATGTCAAAAGGCAATCAGAGTGTGGAATGGCACTTCCTTTTCTCTTCAGAAGCAAATAAGGCAAAATTTAAATTAGAGCCGAAGTCAACAGTCACATAGTACATCTGGAACCATAAGCTGTACTTCTGCTTTTCTAGCTCTGGGGTAAAGGGATAACCTTGCCGAATGCCTATGGTACCAACAAAGAGGAGCATCTTACAGTTCAGTAAGAACTGAAAACGATGACTTGCAGCTCTCCCAAAAAACCTTAGCTCTAATGATCTTTGAGGCTGAACTAGCAAAACTGGTTCCTGATTTCTAACCAATTGATTTTGCCTGTCCTGCAAAATCAAAAGTGTTAAGTCAGTCCACAATATAAGATTATTTCAAAAGAGTCAAAAAAAAAAAAAAGAGTATTTAGATGCCTGAGAGTAAAGATGTCTATCAGCTGGGATTTTCAGAAGTTGTTCACTGTCTCCTTGATTTCAGTCCAAGTCAGGTGCGAAAGTTTTTCTAAAAACAGCCACATCTTTGGATGTTTAAATGTCTTTTAAAATCTGACTTAACTGAATATGCGACAAATTATGTAAACAGTCATCTGAATTTTTTTCACTGAAAAACCTGTACAGTTAAAACCCAGAACATGGTATCATTCATGGATTTTACAATTATTGAACACATTTAACACCAGCACTTCCAACACTGCCAAAGTAATAAACTTTGGCATTTTCTACTAATATTTACAGCACAAAAAGTTCTAAATTAATTCTGTCCTGCAATAATGCTCAGGAGGGACTTTCTGTCCTCTTGAATACCTGAGACACGAAAATCTCACCTATACTTCTCCTGGATCTGTCCAAATGTCCAAATGCTTCCCCAAACTTTGATCATACAATACCCCTCCCTACAAGCCAATTGTCCTGAAAGAGAAGCACCTTGAAGAGAATTAGGTCTCCTATCCTCTAACATCAAAGAAAAAATAACCAACCACAGAGATCTCCACAGATATCACAGAGACTGGAATATAAAGGCAATACAAAAGACAGACAGTTAACTAAATTGTCTTTGAAACTAAATCACATACTAGAAAGAATCACTAAAACCCTCAACCTTTACCAGCTGAAATGCTGCCCTCCCAACTTCCATTCCATTCATGATAAAAAGTATTTTCCCACCTTTTGATCCAAGAGCAAATTTAAGTCTTCAGAACCAAGATTTTACTACTGCTAGTAGATCTAGTTAAGAAGGCTACTAAGTATTTTTAATACCACCTACTCTTTTCCTCAATTTATACATAGCTCCACACTGAAGACTCGCAAAGATTAAATTCAGGCATTTAGGTAACACATGCTCTATGCTTTATGTTCTTGATTTTATACAGCAGCTTGCAGAAATTAGTTTTCAAAGACCTGTTTGAATCTGTTTGGACAAGCAGCTATCAAGAAATCGGATACCTCAAACGTTCTCATTCAGTGATGTAAAACGTTCTTTAATAACCAGTCAATAAATGTAAATATGTATTTTTGTTTGTTTGATGACACCTCCTTTGTAAAACAGAGGAAGAAAGTGCAATTGTCAAGTAGTCCATCACAGGTATGAAGACAGCAATACAAAAGGCCTTGAAAGCATTCTCTCCTTTCGTTTGTACTGGTATATTGTAGCTGTAGACAGATAGTTCTGGTTGATTGCTCTAAGTGTTATGGGAGAGAGGCTCTGAAACGACGCTTGAACAGAAAGAAAAGCTTACACTAAGATCAGAAAAAAGAGAGAGAGGTCACTCAAAGGTAAAAAACATAAAAAGAAAACAGGACAACTGGCATAAATCTATGGGCTCATCCGACTTAAATGAATCTATGGCGAAATAAATGGACATAAGCTTTTGCTACTTGCTTCATATTAAAATGTGCATGTGTTAAAGAAAATGAATAAATTAATAAATAACCCTGCCCCCCAAATTAGAATTAGACCTGAATTCTATTCCTATTCCTTTCACTGGCTTACTGAATGACCTTATCAGTCATAAGACCCATCATCTTTTCTTATATCCCATTTTATAGACAATAATGGAACTCACTGTTTTGTAAAGCATGCTGAAAAGCTACGTAAGTGCTAAAGTTTATTACTAATTGTACCAGCTTATTACATCAGTTTTGAGTCCTCTTAATTTCATCAATTTCTGTAGAATTTCACTGGCAGAAAACTGCAGTAAAATATTGTTGAATCAACACTGCACATTGCAGACATTTTATTACAGACTTAATAAGCAACATCCAGATATGTTTTACTGATAATGTATTGATTTAAGAGATTCTGAGGCTGAATTTTTATGTAATTAATATTTCAGAAGTCAGTTGTTCTGACTATATAGAGAGCAGCGTAGAGCAAGGAAATACAAGGAAATACAGTGCAAAGATGTGCCAGCTTCTGCCTCTCTGGAGTTCTGGATGCAGACTCAGGGGAAAAAAGCAAGTGCCTCCACGCACCAGAGATTCGAGCCCGGGACCCTCCTCTGAGAGTAAGTGCATGCTTATCCCTTTAATAAATCTGAGCTGCATTTGAATTAGATTCATTGATTACATGCACACATTTGATTGGAATTTTGTTCCTGGCATGCTTATTTTAACATTCATAAAGTGGGTTTTTTTCATAGCAAGTACTTGTTTTAAAAGTACTTAAAATGCTCCACCAGACCTTTGCCATTCTGAACATAAGGGTTTTTTTCCTGTGTTTTTTGTTTTTGAAGTGACAGAACTTATTAAGAAAGAAAAAAAAAGAGGAGACCAGGAGTGTGAGTCTTAAAAGCTACCAAAGCCCTCATCCGCAGAATTTAAAGGGATATATAGCATTTCTGAAACTGTCTCTCTGTGTTGTGAAAAAAATGTTTATTCAGTGATGTAAGATACCATTAGTGTGTTTAAAAATAATCACATCATTGAACCTATAAAAAAAGTAAAGAGATATTGTGTCTTTATTAGAATATTGTATCTCTGGTCTATAGATTGTTCTTCATTACAACAAACTGAACTTCAAACATTCAAACATCAGTTTAACAAACTCTAAGATACTAATTCACTTAAAGAGGCTATCTGTAAGACGGCACACTTAATACACTGTAGAGACTAAAGGGAACTTTTCCATGCTGTAAAATGTAGAAAGTAACAAACATTTTTATCTTTTTGAAGATGTGACTCGGATTAAAGTATAACATCACTTTAGCCACGATAACTTAATACAAGTGATTATTTGGTTCAGGAAAATAAATTCTTATCTCTCACCTTTCTCATTAAGATTACGGAAAAGTTTGGATGATCCTTTCCAAACTGGTGGTGTCTCCATAAGGATCTGATTCAGTTCCTAAAAAATAAGATTTAAAAAAAGATAAAAGTATATATTCAAATATATTTAATGAAGTAGTTAACAGATTATGAGTAAATGCTAGAAAATCAACACAAAAGACAAGAAACTGCATGCAAATCTACTAGTTCATTTAACTTCAGTTTACCACAATGCCTTTGGAAGTACTCAAGCACATACATAAATTTTGCACACATGACTATTCCAAGAATTGCTCATCTGCATGAATACTAAGTGTATACAGACTTGGAGGGAGACGTTATCTGTTGCTGAAATTACTCCCCACTGCTCATATTCACTGAAGCCAAGGATAAGTCCCCCTGGATTTCAGTAAGGTTCTCATACAAGCTCCAAGCAACTGTTCTTTTAAAACACTCAACCTGAACTAAAGCAAACTTCATCCATGAATATGAATGTACTTACAATACAGGGATATAGGCAGACTCTATGCAGTTGTACAAATGTAAAAAAACCCAAACAGTAAGAGGCACTTAAACATCACAAAAGGTAGAGAGTGGCATAAGTATTTCAGGCAACTTTGGATACATCTGTTACACTTAGACCCTAAAGAAACTCAGACAGATATGGGCTGAGGAAGGAACTGACAGAGGCTTGAGAAAGTCAGTAAGTCCAACATAACAGGCACAGTTGCTCAAGTATCTTTGAGATTCAGCTGAGTCTGAAGTGATAAAACCAAAGAAATTAAAGTCTCTCTTATTTTTTTTTTAAATAATGATTAAAATCTTCCTTATTTCTCCGGTGACTCTAAGTTTACATCATGAAAGAAAGTAACTGTATCAAAATCTATGTTTATAAGACAGCACAGGAATTATTGCCTACCTGCTTTGAAAGGGATCGCCACTTTTTAGCACCTGCAAGAAAAGACAAAGTTATGAATGTGCAGAATTTAGTTAAACCAACGTGGCGTCATAAAAATTAAGACTGCATCTATACTCTGTTTTCTAGCCAAAGAAGAGGTATTTTCCCTACTTCATGAGGATAATCTTCAACCTGGTTCCAAAAAATTATCTTTATTTTATTAAAAAAATAATGAGCTTAATACATACCTGAACTCCTAACTTTAAAGAACCAATTCAAATGCATAGCTTTTAACCCAACTCCGCTTCAGTGAGGGAGAAGACCTTCTACCTCCAAAAATACACCATTAAAACATTAAACAGGAAACAGAGGGCATTCATGTTAACCTGTGGTATCAATATTCTGAAAAGATTATTTAGTAGCAGTAGTATTACAATGCAGATTGTAGGGAGACCTGGATTCTGGCCCTTGCTTCAGCGATTACTCATATGTTTTACAGCAAATACAGAAAAAAAAATAATCCTTGAAACTACATCAGCTGCTAAGACTCCCTTCAGCCATTCCTAGTAACTCAGATTCATGCTTCTTTTTACAGCCTCCGCCAGGTTCAATTTTTTGCAAGTAGTTTTAACAGAGGAGCTGAAGAGAACCTCCAGTTCAGAACTGGAACTGCTCATTAACACTGAAAACTGATGAGTAAGACTGACCAGATGCTTTCTTCCTAACGCCTTACATGACAGACTCCAAGAGCAGAGAAAGATATTTGCATTTGACAACAGCTATCCATAACCACCCAAGAATTCAAAACTTGGGGTTTGTTGCCACCCTCTCAAGACAAACATTTGCACAGATTCAATATTAAGGTAAAGCACTGTGGATATCAGAATTCACAAAAGGTACAAAAAGTAGCATAGTATGTGGTCAAATCCGTAACTTTTTGGTTGGTAAAGGCTCATTTTTATAGAGCAAAACACTGTGGTATTAGAAATCCCTTCCTCATGATAAACTCCATACTCCACTAAATAATTATCACGATACAGAAGCTACTCACTATGGTCTTTCATTAGGTCATGGTTAGAAACTGACTGAAATTTTAGTTTTACATCTTGGTAAAGGTTAGCATGAAGTCTGTCTGCAAATCCACTCTAACTATGGTGCAGTTACATCAAACAACATCATAACGTGAGCTAACAGATTTTCATATACTTTTCAGTTTAATTTTTTCATTTTTTAAAGTCTTGTCTCAAAATACTAAATAAAACCCCCCAAAACAACCTCATTTGCCATACAAATCGGTATATGTTTACGCCCACCATAAAAAAATTGGGGAATAAATATATCTAACTTTCCAATCAGATAATTTTCCAGTCTCATACATTATATATAGATTTCCTTTCTAGACAAGCAAGTGAAGATTTATGTGTATATACATACTTCTTACAGCTCAATATTATGCTAGAATTACTACAGTTAGAGATATAGGGAACAAAATATATTTCCTTTTCTCTTAATTGGCTTTCTAAATACATAAACATATATTCAGAAGACAAAAATGTATCAAGCATGACTGTTAAAAGTATTGTGTTTTCCCAAATGAAAGCCTGCACCATAAAGGCAGCAGCAGCAAGTTTATTATAGCATTGATTTTATATTTTTTATAACAACTGCCTGGAGTCAAAAGTTACATTTTATAAAAGAAAATACACTCTTACCATATTAGTTAGTGTTTAATCAAAAAAGGAAGTGAACACCCTCTTGACTTTTGTAGGGTTTACAAGATTTCCAAAGTAAATCAATCACAATAGACGCATTCACTCCATCACAAATCTCATTCAGCTCTAGTATTATTAGCTTTTGTGCAACGCAGACATAAAGAGCTACTATTATTACTCTTCAAAGGGCATTTTTGCTTTTTGACAAACTCAAGACCTTTCTAGTCTTCATCCATAAAAAACCCCAGCGTATGTTCTTTTTTTTTCTGTGCAAAATACAGATGGTCTAGTATGTCAGCCTGAATGGACCCAATTATTTACAGCTTGCAACTTATTTACAAAATTATCTGAAAATACAAAATAAGATGTTTAGAATGTATTATTTTATTCAGAAAAACACCTTCCTTAAACTTACTACCTTCAGTAGAGCAAGACAGAAAATTAAGACTTGCCCAGACAAAGCTGCAGTACAAAGGCTAAAACTAACATAGCCAGAGAACAGAAGCTGGAAGTGGTAATCTGCACGTCATCTACTTCACCTATTACTTCCTACTTGTCAGCCTTCTGTCCAAATGTCTCAGACAATATGACTTCCACTATAACTTCCACTTAGTTACAGCCTCTTATACTATCCCTTAAAATAATTCTCTCAGTCATGTAATCTCTGATACTAGTCTATAAAACTAAAGGACATCCAGGTTAGTTTTGCTTTCAGTCTCAGAGATGAACTGGATGCAGGGGAAGGATTTTGATACAAATAAGGTTTGCTACACTGAACTCAGAAGGGTGCCTGACTCTTCAACTCCAGATCTCTTCTCCTTTGGCATAAGATGAACAGAATGTCCTTGTGAGCGTAACGCTTTTTGGTTTGGTTTTGTTTTTAAAATCTGAATACTTGCTGTGAGAGAGGAGGAAGCATAAATTTCATTAGCCTGGAAAAATCTTAATAGTAAACCATACATACAGTGTGGTCAAACCAGTCAAACTGTCATAAAATAGTTAAAACAAAATGTTTAACTGATGTCCACTATATGGCACAAATGCTTCGTGACCATACATGGTGAAAACCAATTCCACAGTAACAAAAAAAGGAAGACTTGGAGATCTGGGCAGAGGAAGTAGATATAAAGTGCTGATGTGTATTTGTATTAACTTCTGTGATAAGGAATCTGCTGCTTCTCTTTTAACTGCAGAGCAAAAAAAGAAAATGAAGACTTGCTTTCTGGTAAAAGTTTCAAAGTTTTGCAAGTTTTCACCATGTCAGCTCTATTTTCTGTCTTCACTGTTACAATGAGATTATATCTTTATTCAAAAGTTATAGATGCCATGGCTGAATTCTTTCCTCTTGTTTCATCACTGTTAAAAGAACAAAGGGGGAAAATCTAACATCTGCACAGAGCTTTAAGCTCTCCTCTGACTGTTTTAGCTGCTTTTGATTGTTCTCTATACTAGCTTTGCGGTGTAGAGTTCAGGAAGAAAGACCTAAGGTGAGTTATTATACATGTTACACCTGAGCAAAGATACTCACTTTCCCCAGCAGTTGTGTGCTGCTACCAATGCACTGCAAGCCTGAGGGCCAGGAAATCAAACTAGATCAGAAATGGATGACCTTACTATTTAGTCACTCTTTGATACTTAAAGCAAAAATTTTACAATAAGCGAACTAAAGCTGATAGTTTATTTCTCATTAATGTAATTAACATGTAGTGCTAACTCTGGTAACTTTTAAGTGTAGAAAGTGGACCCCTCAGGGGACTGAAATTTTTACCCAAAGCATGTGATTTACAAAGCCATGATATGGTTATAAAATCTCAGTAGGGCAAAAAAAACCCCAACACAATAGCAAATGACAATTTAAGATGGCAAAAATTGCAAACCAATGTCATCCTAAATTATTTAGAGAACTCGCATCTTGCCTGTCTATTTACATAGAAACTATACAGAGGAGGAAGCAAGAGTTTTGCAGCAATACTGGCCTGCTCAGAAAGAAACCATAACTGTAATTCTGTCAACGCAAATGGTACAAATGAACTTCTTGTCTTTCAGGCCTGTTGAGCTGTCTGTGACCTTTTAAGACAAGAATGTTTAACTAATGACTACTATACAGATGTTTATAATCTAATAACAATCAGGATACTGATTGTATGCACTTGGATACCATTAAAAATAAAATTCTGGAAGATGCAGTACCTTTTTATCACAATAAGAAACAGAAGTAGTAATCAAAAGCAAATGGAAAAATAACATACACCACTGGCATTTTCCCTAACAATTTTATCAATATAAAACTCCAGCTTACGTTTGGGTTCATCATTTGTGACAGCCTGAATGAAGTCATATGGAGTCATATATAGCTGTCCTTCAAATTCTAAACTGGCAAACCTACGAAACCGTTGCTCTCGAGGAGTTGCATAAAGGTGTAAATCTTCAAGGTCTGATCTGTCTTCTGTAACCTTCAAAGGCAGAAGGAAACAATTTTAATGTATGAAAAAAGTTTTGGTTTACAATTGCCACTGCCATTCATCATAAAGAAACTGTAAATGTGATAATTCATAAAGTCAAATGCATCCAAATATTTTTGTATGGTAAGAGCTGAAACTACAATCAGGATTTCACTGCTATAATTTTCAGTCTTCTATAATTTTAGCAATAAATCTTTATGCATTGAAATTGCTGACACTGCTCAAGCTCAGAAAAAAAAAAGAAAAAAAAAGAAAAAAAAAGAGAACATAGGCTCTTGAATCATAGAAAAATGGGCAACTTTAACTCAAGGAAGTCCATGTAACTTCAGCAGTCAGACTTCAAGCAAGTCGGCGAAAATTATTTCAGTTGTCTGACATTTCCAGAAGAGAATGGAATAACACTTTGTTTATATTGCTTCTTAGTGTAGAGCGTAGCTGTTGACAATAATAGGCAAGACACCTCTGTAACATACTCCAGTATAAATCTTGTATGGTTACTCCTATTTCAAGCATCCAATGCCATTAAAGCTACCATACTTGGGGGCACAGAAAAGAGTATAATTATTCCTTGAGAGTTACAGAAGTACTATATGGCATTAAGTTCATACCTCACGAGACTTTATAGATGTTGGGAGTTTATGGTATATTTACCATCCAGTTGTTTACATGTAAACTTTGTAGTACAAAACTGCAAGTGTTCTAAATTATTACATCTTTATGTTTCACTGTCAAACCTTTTAACAGAATGTATGCTACCGCTATCTGAAAACTTTTTTTAGCCCACAATGAGGCAAGCTCCTCTGTGGAATCAGTATCTTGAAGAAAATGTAAGTATCTTGAACTTTTTTCCAGACATGAAAAAACCAAACCCAAACTGTTTCATAAAAGGAAGTGCAATGATAGAGCTAACTTCTCCCAGTATGTTTAAAAAGGAATGCAGAATCTTATCAGTGAAATATCCCAAGCCATCATTGTCCTCACTATTATCATCATTTCATACAGTATCCCTAAAATTCTACAGATGTTAAACTAAGGAAAGGCAACAAGTAGCACATGGTTTAACTAATGTTTGTTTTCTTTTAACAACTAAGAAAACAGCCAAATACATTTCGCTTTTCAGAGAGGCGTCTAAACACAAAGAGAAGTTGGGAGACAGCTGCAGTTGCTGTCTGCTAAGAGATAACACTCCTCAACTACAAACGGAAATTTGGTTTCCAAAAGCTTTCCAAGAATAGGCTTCAGATTTCAGCAATTAGAAGCAAAGGCACATTTATATTGGGCAGTCAAAAATCTGGGCTCATTTTCCTTCTGCTTTCCAAACAACGTCCTTAAAAAATAAAACATTAGTAGGACTATTAATATTAGTATAAAATAACATACTGCAAACATGGAATTTTCAAGACACGCTTAAACTTATGTCAGTATTCAGATCTGCAAAATCTTAATTTCTGCCTCATTTTAGTCAATCTACAGTTTCCCTCTGACCATATAGCAATGACAATATTTCACACTCTGGTTCAAAGCCATGGTAACCTGATATGAATACAGCCCGCCACCAAAAAGAGCAGTACCTCCCTAAAGGCTCAATACCCAGCATGTCCTTGCTCTGGCACTTTATGTTCATTTTTCTACGTGTCAAACTGGACAAGTGAACTGGTCTGACTGAGAACTTTTGTTTTGGTGGTGGTATTTTTTAGCCAGATAAATGCCTGGATCTACCACACAAGAACAGTTATTTGTTTCAAAACGTAGGCCATACAAATTCGCAGTTTATGGAAAAGAAAATATCATCTGTTCCAGCAGCAAGCTCCACCCACTTCAAGTTAAAGTGAGGGGAAAACTGCAAGCTTAAGCATAATTTTATTCCAAGGAATAAAAATACTTTATTTTTAACTTTGCGGTTCTATCTGAAAGAATCAGAACAAGTTGTTTCTGCTACTGATCAAACATGAATTCAAATAAATGTACACAGGGCTTAATATGTATTAGATCACTGGTCCACACACTAAATGTCCAAATAAAAGCAAGGTTTGGCTGCAGAAGACTCCAGGCACGCACCTTAGCAAACTGACAAATAAAACCATCTTTGGGAATATTAGTGGGTTTTGTCCAATTTCTGGTTCAGAGCTTTACTTCTTCTATTACTATCAATTTATGTAACATACAGCAACTTTAAGTCTGCTGCATAAAAGCTGTAATTATTAGGAACTAATCAATACACTAATTAAAAGCCAAGCCATTCTAAAGTATGACCCCAATTCGCATCTCTTCAGGCATTCATTTAAGAAATTAATCTCAACACATAACAATGAAACGCCTCCTGTTTTCCCCAGCCTTAGCAGTTCATAATCCAGAGAGGCAAGTATCAGAATCTAAGTGACACCAACTGCTCTCAATTGATTTATTTCATATTTATGCCCAGGATAGGCAATCTTATTGTAGCAGCATCAGTATCAAATCCAATGGACACATGATCAAGACACAGAAAGTTGATGCCGAATACCTCAGGGAAGGTACTGTTTGTGAAGGAGTGAACAGGATTCAGTAAGACTCCAATTCCTATTTGAAGTTTCAAGAGCTTATCCAGAGTAAATCTCTCTGTAATTATCAACAATCTTCAAAAAGTTTCATGAAAGTACATCTCTGACAAACAAAAGAGGGGAGATTTTTTTTATGCTTCTGTTTACTAATCCTCTTGGCAATCCTGCCTAGTAATTACTACAATCTTGTATCATGTTATGGTTCTCTGCCTTTCAAAAATTAGACACGGACATTTCCTTCAAGTAGAATGTCACGAATCTCGCAATAGCAGTATTATCTTAATTTTAGGTGCAGCAGGTTAGCTCTGGTTTAAGTGCACATTTACACCAACCTACTTTGTTACTAGAACTTTTAGGGGAAAAAAAAAGCCTCACAGCTGAAACCAAGAATCTAGCTGGTAGCAAGAATTCCCATCCTTCCAACTTCACAACTCATGAAGTACATAAGAAGAGGCAAGACTGAAGCTCATCGGCACTCACAAACAATATATTATCTTTTCCCTATTCTCAAAAAAAGCTAAGCATTAATAGCTGTATTCAAACAGCTCATGGTTACCATCCTTCTGCCCTTCCTCCCTCAAACTCTGGTACCTTGCTCTGTATTTCACCTCCCATCCACTGTCCTCCTGTGCCATGCCCTTTCAGAAGGACTGCAGAGAGAACACAGCACCTTTTTGGAGTGCTGCTATGCGTGGTCTTGGCTTCCATCTGCCTTCTGCAGAACCAAGAATAGAGACTGTGTGGCTCTTCTAAGCTCAGTTTAAATCAGGTAAAGAGAAAAAATTATCTTGGCCTATTTTCTTGCTGTTCCCTAACACAGAAATGTATATACACATATCTAATTCTCACGGATAGAGGAGACATTTCAAAGCACTTTCTAAAATTGCTTAAATGGTTTCAGAACTTACATGCAAACCACCACCAGGCAAAGGAAACAGAGGGAAACATTTCCCGTAAGAAAGTTCATTTTAATATCAGTTTATCAAAACAAGGTAAGTAAAAACTAAATTGAAGACAAAATAGTAATTTGGCAGGGTACTTCTCCGAATGGAGCATATCGCTCTTCAATTACGTGTACTTCCATTGTAAATCTATGCTACAAATGTATTACAAACAGCCTAAAATATCTGGAAAAGGCCTGGAAAATTTCAAATTTATTATGCAAATGAAAACATGATGATAATGCTCTCTCACTAACATATTTCAAGGACTTAATATAATTCCTAAAAACTATTTTCTAGAAGTATGATATTTAGAGAGGGACATCTAAAGCTACAATAACACCACCACGTGTCTCACAGAGTGGTGATCCTTTAGATGAAGGTCTTTATTATGGATACTCAACATTTTTAAGTCAATCAATTTTGAAAGCATTCCTTGTAGAACCTTTTTTAGAGTGATATCCCTCTGTATTTTCTCCCCTTGTTCACAGCAAAAACTCAAGTGAAGAAAATCTTGGCTTTCTATCAAGTAAAATTAGTGTTCAAAACCCATTCCCATTTTGGGTTCATCTTTCATGTACTGTGTCTATCAACAGAGACAAGTCAAAATGCCCTGAAAGTCTGGTGCTCTCACCAAAGGATTCCACATATTAGTCAAAGTTTCTTGGAGCATAGGCTAATCTCCACCTCTGGTCCCATGTCTGTCTTACTGGCTCTCTTGCTTCAGAGATACAGTCTGTCTGAATTTGGTCCAGCATGAATTAACCTGTATGCCCTTCCAGTGAAATCCATGCAGTAACTCTACATTGCTGTAAGATGGCCTAACGCAAGACATGAGCTCACAGAGTGATATTAAAATAACTAAAATTTCGCAGTAGTTATGACCCCAACCTATCTGAAAGTATCAATAAATGCTAACACGGCTCAGGTTCAGTGGAAGTAAAGTGTGGAAGATAAAACATGACATCATTACACTTTCTATTAAAAAACACAAAAGAAATGTTCTTTGCCAAGTGTTAGTCTTACTAACTTACATTAAGTCAGTAATTCAGAAGTTTTATTCTGTGGCAAAAGATCTAGTTTCCCCATAGAGACAAGTTTAAATGCCAGACACAGAATTTTTCACTTCAAAATTAGAAAAACTGATGCCTACAAGCTGAAAAAGCTCTGCAGAAGTAATCTCCAAGAATCCATTATCAAAACCCAGAACAATACTTCAACGTTCAGATTCTGAGAATATCTACAAATACTGCAAAATATTTTACAAAACAAATAGGTAAAAACATATATGCTGTGTGTACACTCATATGAGGCAAAAAGCTACAGCCGTATCACATAAAAAACCCACAACTTTGCTATGTTCCAAGTCAAATCAGTGTTCTCTTGCTTTTTCCAACTGAGATAAAGGTGAGACTATCTTAGCTAAAGAAGCCAACATTTACTACTAAAAGTACCTTTTGCTTGCAGTCAAAAATATGTTCTCTTACAGTAGTTTAATCTTTAACTAATT